ATATCCTCTGATGTCATGTCATATGATGTCATATCATGTGATGCCACGACATGTAATGCCATGTCATATCATACGATGACATATCATGTGATGCCAAGTCATGTGATGCCAAGTCATGTGATGTCATGCCATATAATGTGATGTCATTTCATATGATGTCATTTCACGTAATATCGTGTGATGTGATATCATATTATGTGATGTAATATCATGTGATGTCTCTTCATATCATGTGATATAATGTGATGTGATGTCATTTAATGTGATCACATTCCATGTTCCGATTATTATATGGATAACCCTGTTGATAACTGTGGCGATAAAAATACCGATAACAATATCCATAAACATATAGAAAAATACAACGACTGCAAAATCTAATAATTCATCGTTAAATATAACAATCATCAGTATCGATTATTGTACATATCGATAATAATATAAATCAACTATTTAGTCGATTATTATACCGATAACAATATCCATTATTGCATCGATAACAATATCGATTATTATATTGATTATTATATCGATTACAATAGCTGTTATTTAATCAATAACAGTATCGATAACAACATCGATTATTTTATCGATAGCAATGTCGATTATTATATCGATAGAAATATCGGGTTTTATATCGATAACAATATCGATATTCAACCTCATCCTTTTCTTCATATTTATCTTTATTTTTGCATATTCCTCTTCACATTTAACTTAAAATGTTTAAATTTGCTTTGATCTTCATTTTTGCCTGTACCTCTAGGCATCTTTGTTTTTGTTTTTATTCTCAAACCGCTAAACCGCTGAGAACCATTTCCATGTGCATTATTCCCCTTGAATTTGACAATTTACTGCCGCTTTTTTCACTTCATCGTTCTCATGTATTTCTCCATCTTTATATTTATCTTTATTTCAAAGCTTAATTTCAAATGTGTAGTGAAACAACAGGGGAAACATGCCAAATTGAACATGTTGCAGCAACATCTATACACAATTCGAAAATGTTTAAGCAACGGTTGTGGCCGTAATTTTCAACCAATTGTGAAATCATAAAAACTCTGCTCATCTACGGAAAAATGCCTTTCCAACGGTGTTGTTCGGTTTTGAAATCGGTTCGGTAGAATCGCCAAACGAACGGAGACAAAATTTATGTTAGCGTATTAATATATAGATTAAGCAATTATGTAAGACGTATCATTTATGATTTATCTGATCTCGTACTTTTATCTGTTACGATCTTGTAAAATTGCACAAATGCACGTGATTAAAAAGTTAAATAAAAAATTTAATAAATAGCAAAATCTTTTTGGCTAATTTAAAATGTTTCTTATCATTGCTCTATTACTCCTATAGGAGGCTTTCGGGATGCGTCTAATGGGAGCACTCCCTTATTGCTCGTTCGGGAGGAATATGGGATGTTTTCTATGTGCGCTCCCTTGTTGTCTTTTTGGGATGTTTCTGGGAGGTAACTATGGGAGTACTCCCGTATTGCTCCATTACAAGGTTTGTGGGATGATAATTCTGTGTGTGCTCCCCGATTGCTCGTTTAGGAGGTAAAAGGGATTACTCCCCCTCCTAGGACATCCAATGTTAAAGGGAGTATACAAAATGACATGCTTATATAAAGAAGCATAGGGAGCAATGGGGAGTATTCGTATACTCACCGAGCAATCGTACGATGCTCCCAAGTTCTACTGGGTTTTGCCAATACAATAGTAATACATTCACACTTTTGCACAAATACATTCACACAAAGACAATTGTTTTCGCCATTGTGTCTGATTTTCCATAGACAATGATGAAGACATTCACCCCTATGCTGTAATCCGAAAGTTCGTAGTTACGAATTCGTAGCTCCGTTCCGAAAATTCGAAAATTGGTATGCTGTAATCCGATCGTAACTATCAACGGCGTTGCCAACTAAAATAGTGAAATTCGAAGTTCTTAATCAGCTGCTTTGACAGAAACAAATCAAAATAAATATAATCGCAAGTGAACAGTGAAATTAAAAAAGATTGTTTAATCGTATTTGAAAAGGCTTTTCCTTAATTAAGTAAAACAGAATGGATTCAGTGGCCGGTGCACTTTTGTCTCAGGAGGAAGAACATGCTGCAGTCAACT